TGAATTAGAGGATATATAAACGCATGTTTTCTGAGCAGTTTGAAACCAAAAGTATTCAAGTAGACCAAAGCGTTTATAGTGATTTTGTGCTTTTCTTTTAAAATTTAAAACAAAAAAAAATGTTGTCAAATAAGTTTAAAACAAAAAAAATGTTAGATCAAATAAGTTTTCCAGGCACTTTGATTGTGTAGCCCCACGTTGTGTTCTACCACCATGCCATAGGGAAAATTTCTTTCAAGCAGTGTAACAATTCCATCTTACATTTTATGCAGTAGCCACCAGTAACATTTACTGTCTACTAGACACATTTAATGGTTTCTGACTTAGTATTTTTAATTGTCTCTATTAAAAATCTTTATTGCGTTATTGCTATCGCTATTATTGAATTTAATGGAATCAGTGGCGTAGCTAGAGGTTGAATGTGGAAGGCACATGTCCCGGGCGCCAGGCTTGGGTGGGGGTGCTGCAATGGGAGAATGAGAGTAAAAAAAATAAGCATTTATGTATTTCGTCAGGCATGATTTTTTTTCCAGTTAATAAGAAGAATCTGAATGTCGTTTTTATTGGCAAATTTATAGATTGTGATTTCTTGTAATTCCATTTCGACTGTTTTCTCTTGTTTTTTTTTTATCCTATTCTGTAATGTCTAAATGACTAAAGTTCATCCTGCCATATCTCAGATCCACGATTGGAAACGCGAGATTATCTGCTTTGGCACTACTTAGTATTGAGCGTGATGAAGCAGACAACATTGCTAACTTTGATCATGTTATTAACTTTGCTGATGCAAAAACACACACAATTCAGTTGCGAGTTTGAATAATGTTAAAAATTCAGCAACTTACAAGACTCTGCTATAAGATAAATTTAGAGAATAAGAATACTAAGATGTATGAGATAAATACAACAGCCTTACAAATTAGCACATATGGTAAAGTTGTATACAAAGTTCCGAACATCGAATAATGCGGTTTCAATAGTAAGAAACAGGGGTGGCGTCAGGCCCCCCCTTCAGGGATAGCTGCGAGCTCACCCCCTCCCATCTCCCCCTTTCCCACGTCGGGGAGAAAAACCATAATTCGTTGGGGAGAAAAAAATTATATGTATTTTGTACATATTATTAGTAGACACTAAAATAGATTAAATAAGCCTTTGAAACCCATAAATAGTCAACAAATTTTGGGGGGCTTCGGCCCCCCCATACAACTTTTGGAAGATTTAAAGCGACGCTCGATCACGCCCACTTTGCTCTCGTCATGGAAATCTTCCCCCTCGTCGGGGCATCGCCCCCCCACCCCCCGGACCTCGGACCTCCACTCGGGCAAATCCTGGCGCCACCCCTGGTAAGAAAGAACATATGAGAACTAGAATATAATAGTTATTCGGGTTTAATTATTTAGACAATGCATGATATGGACGTACGGTACGGATATGCTTCAAGTCTATAAAACCAATATTAATTTATTTCAAAATATTATAATTATAATTGGGGGTGGGGGAAGGGGCGCAATTTTCTACTCTTTTCTCCGGGCGCCAAAATCTCTAGCTACGCAACTGAATTGAATCATCATTATCATATTATTCATTAGACTAAAAAATGCGAAAAAAATAGTCAGAGCCTGTTTTTTCGGTTTTATAAGCAGTTATGTCGGGCCAAAAGTTTATTAGGAAATTTATTACTTTAAAATAATATAAAAATTCTCGCCGGGCTTTCTAAAAAGTTGTTCTATATGGTAGGTGCTCGCAGACACATTGTAGTAACCTATTGATACTTTCTGAACCCAAGTGATAAAACTAGGAAAAGCCCTGTCCTTAAAAACGAGGAAAGTGGTTTATGCCAAAATCTACATACCGCCCTCTAAGGTCTGCTTATAAGGCATACAATTTACTGGATGCACTCCACATTGTTTAGAAGTTGGTATACATTTGTAACATTTGCACATAGGCCTATATTATTTCTGTGGTTTGTGGGTAGGTTACAATCGAGTGTTGTTATAATAGTAAAGTGTACGCAGTTGTAGCTTGAGAGGTAGATCATGGGGGTTCCCCCACATATTTTAAGGGGGTTTGTAATTGGATAATAATAGGGGTCTTTGGGGGTGTTGAAGCGTCTCACATTCATACGGAACCATGCTTGCATGAAACTTGCACCATGCGTGGGCCCTAGCCAAACTTTTTTAATCTCTGTTTGTTTTCTTTCCTTTAATCTTGCTTTATTCGCTTCTATTCATTCACTTATCACTATTTCTTCTTCCTTCTTCTTCTTGGCGAAAAGGGAGGTAATTTTGTAAATCCTCCTCTGGGTTTATAGCCTCTCACACCCAAGTCAACCTGCACCTTCTCGTGGTGGACCCTGTTAATTCAGGCCGTGCGGCCTGGGATCTAACGCAGGATATGGCCCCAGCTATGGGTTAAATAGATTAACATCTGACTAGGATCCATCTACCTAGCACGAGAAGGATAGACTCGGAAAAATCCCGGACCACATCGTCACCAGCCGTCGTGTTTCGATATGCCGCTGGATCATGGCGTTGTGGATCAGAGAGTGACGTCATTCAGTCGCGTGATGTACGCCACTTAAATTATTGCGAAGGCGTGATGACCCGCAAAATAATCAACTCAAGTCCTATGGCGATGGAAATATGACGAAGGCAGCAGGGTTGAGTCCTGGGAGCTGTCAGTAAGATGTCTGCACGTAGGCGGCTGAAGTGTGATGGTCGTGTGGTGCACTCAAACTGGAACACGGTGTACTCAGGGCAGCTACTTCAGCGTCCGGGCTGCTCTATTCAGAGGTACCACAGCCTGCCCGAATTCCGGGAAGCCCCTAGAAAAGGTGGGGTAGACATTGGGTGTTCCTAGATTACCTGGGTGGGTTGGCCACGCCCACCGGGACTCCATATTTGTGGTTGTAAAATAATGAAGAAAAATAAACGGAAAATACTTACAATGGTTACATGGAATGTACGCACGTTACTTGACCGTAGCGCGTCTGACAGACCCGAACGTCGCACAGCACTGGTAGATAGAGAACTTTATAGGTACAGCGTTGATATTGCAGCACTGCAGGAAACCCGCTTGAAAGAACAGGGGCAAATTAAAGAGCAAAATTACACCTTCTTCTTGTCTGGCCACCAGAAAAATGGCCCTAGCCAAGCGGGTGTAGCTCTTGCAATTTCCAACAAGCTGCTAAGAAACCTACCATCTCAACCGAAACCAATCTCTCCCAGATTGATTCAACTTCGACTTGATCTGGATATGCGGCGATCGGCGACTGTCTTGAGCGCCTACGCACCGACAATGACAAATAATTATGAAACAAAGGAACAATTTTACAGTCAACTGGCTGAAACAATCCGATCTGTCCAGAAATCAGATAAAATTCTCATTCTTGGGGACTTCAACGCACGTGTTGGAGGAGACTATGTGACGTGGGACAGGGTGGTCGGCAAGTTTGGCCGTGGAAAAACCAACAGCAATGGTGAAATGCTGCTGTCGCTGTGCACTGAGTTTGATCTTGCAGTAACTAATGCTTACTTCAACAATCCCGATGGGTGGTACCACTCCTGGTGCCATCCGCGTTCAAAACACTGGCACCTGCTCGACTATGTGCTTACTCGAAGAGCGGACATCAAGGACGTATGCAGCACACGGGCACTGCGTGGTGCGGATTGCCACACTGATTATCGAATGATTCGGACGAAGCTGAAACTGACTGTAGATCCACCACGTCGGAAAACTGCACCAAAACCAACGAAACATTTGAATGTAGCGGCCCTTCGGGACCCAGAAGTGGCAAGAAAGCTAGCAATCGGCATGGACGCAAGCCTTAATTGTGAACAGCCTGAAAACACCTCACCTGAATTCCTTTGGCATGACTTTAAATCAAAAGTTTATGACACTGCATCTAAAGTGCTTAGCCATCCTGAACGTCGCAATGCTGACTGGTTCAACGTAAATGATGCTGAGATACGTAAGTACTTCTTTAAACCAAAAGGAAGATGTTCAACAAGACTCTACATAAAGGATGCACGCGGTCTGTAACTGCTCTGTACAAACAATCAAAAGCAAATCTGCAGAAGAGACTCCGAGAAATGAAAAACCAATGGTGGCTCAACAAAGCTGCAGAGATCCAACAGTTTAACGATGCTAAAGACAGTAAAAATCTGTTTGCCACACTAAAAGAGGTATTTGGGCTATCCCAGGGAACTGCTACACCTGTTACCAGCAATGATGGCACACAGGTTTACACAGAAAAGAAGGAAATAATGTTCCGTTGGGTTCAGCACTTTAGTGAGCTGCTTAACCGTCCATCTACGGTGAATGACAACGTGATTAATCAGATAAAGCAACGATCTATTAATGATGCGCTCGCTGAACCACCAACAATGGACGAGCTGGAATCGGCCATCAAGTTGTGTAACAATGGAAAATCACCGGGTGCAGATGGGATACCCGTAGAAATCTTCAAACACGGTGGCAGCCAACTCCGGGAAAAGATGCTACAAATCATCATTGAATCATGGAACAGAGAAATAATGCCAAGTGACTTTAAAAATGGCATCATCATCACGATTTACAAACGGAAAGGTGACCGTAAGGTTTGCGGAAATCACCGTGGAATAACACTTCTCTCTATTGCTGGTAAGCTGTATGCAAAGATCCTTATCATGCGCCTGTCGACCTTGTCCGAGAGATTGCTCCCGGAAACACAATGTGGTTTCAGACCCAATCGCGGTACAACAGACATGATATTCACGCTACGCCAAATTCAATAAAAATGTCGTGAACAGAACATGCCGCTTTACATTTGCTTTGTAGACTTCTGTAAAGCTTTCGACAGTGTCACACGTGATGCATTATGGAAGATCCTTGCTAAGTTTGGCTGCCCGGAGAAATTTGTCAACATCGTGAAACTATTTCACGATGGTATGACAGCACAGGTACTTGTCGGCGGAGAGCTATCTGAAGCGTTCCCAGTAACTGGTGGTCTGAAACAAGGATGCACTCTTGCGCCCACTCTTTTTGGTCTCTTTCTTGCAGCGGTACTAGAAGCATGTACGATGGATCCACCAACCGAAGGTGTGTAGCTGCGCACACGGTATGATGGTAATTTATTCAACAAACACCGTCTGACTGCAACATCGAAAGTTAATGACGTGCAAGAACTTCTTTATGCTGATGATTCTGCCTTTGTGGCACACTTCGAAGCCGAATTGCAACAACTTGTTGAGCGCTTCGCAAGTGCAGCTGCAGATTTCGGTCTTACCATCAACACGACAAAGACAGAAGTAATGTAGACGACATATAAAGAGGCTCATGAAAACTCAGCAAAGACACGTACGCTATATCATGGGCATACGCTGGCAAGATCGGGTCACCAATGAAGAAGTACTGCAAAGAGCTGCAATGGTCAGCATCGAATCGACCATCATGCGATCACAATTACGATGGACAGGTCATGTCATACGGATGAACAGCGAGAGTCTCCCCCATCAGATCCTTTATGGAGAACTGAAAGAAGGTGGCAGATCTGTTGGCCGACCATTTCTCCGCTATAAAGACTCATTGAAGAGGCAACTGAAATCGGCTGAGATTCTACCAGGGAGCCTTGAGAAAGTTGCTATCAATAGAATGGAATGGAGAAGGCTCATCAATACAGCATCTGATGTAGCTGAAGCAAAACGATGTGATGCTGCCAAAAAGAATAGGGATGCCAGACACGCTGCTGCAAGATGCCCACGTGTAATTGATGACAATTCACCAACCTGCAATATCTGTGGCTTTCGGAGTGTCAGCGAATTTGGACTGCGTAGCCACGCAAGGAAACACAGGCAAAAACTATTTTAATGAAGGAAAAAACAAATAAATAAATAAATAAACAAATAAATAAATGAATAAATAAATGAATAAATAAATGAATAAATAAATGAATAAATAAATAAATAAATAAATAAATTAAATTAATTAATTAATAAATTATTAAATAAATAAATAAATAAATCAATAAATATAGATAAATATAAATAAATAAATAAATAAATAAATGATGGGTCGGATCAGTCATCATCGAAAACGATGGACAGCCAATGAGTTAAATTGGGTAATAGAGAAATTTATTCCCTATGATTTAATAGGATGTTTGTTAGAAACTCCGAATTACGATATATTAAAAATATCAAAGGTTTGGTTTAAAAGTTCCAATCAACTGTGTGGAAAATTTAATGTTCAATTGTCCAGGGGTGATTGCTGGTTACTTTAGAATGACCAATAATATATCAATACTACAATTGTAGTAAACACGGTTTCAAGCTAAGTTGAAACCAAGTTGAGAAATTCAACAGGTGAAGGGTATCAATAAACAAATTACAATGGTTATATAAGTTAAATATTATTGAATCTTAATACTACAGTATATACACACTTTCTTTCTCTCACTCCCTCCCTCCCTCCCTATTCCCCTCTTCCCCATCTCTCTCTCTCATCAGATTGTTTTCCATCTGACTACATCTGTACCTGTTCTATACGCACCTCTCCTGATCTAATAATGGAGTGGCGTTAACTAGCTTGGTGTTAAGATACTTGTTTTTTTAAGTACGGGTCCTTGGTTCAAATCATGTTACGGTAACATGATTTTATTTTTCACAACCAAAACAACTCCACTTCCTAAACATCATAATGAGACTTAATTTATGTAGAGCATATCTTGTGTTCATGTTTGGCTTGTGAATTGATATGCCACTTTCAATACTGATTATGTTCGCTGCTTGGCACATCATTGGCCTTTGGCCTAAACCAAAGTCAAACATTCTTTCTTTTTTCTTTAAATAAATATTGAGCCTTTCATGCGGCAATTAAATTTAAACTAATTGCTAGCCCTAGGCTTACTCTTAATGAAATAAAAAAAAAAAACAAAAAAAAAAAACCGCGATCAAAATAAAATTTAAACTAAACCATGGGGTAAGATAAAAAATGAAGAACTCTATATTGGAGAATATTGTCTTGAAGATCCGAATGATAATTTGTTCATTGCTTATTAGCCCAATAAAAAAAAATGAATTAATAAAATACATAGTAGCCTACAGCGTAGGTTGCCTGTCGGTGTGTAGAGAATGCCATTAAAATATACTACCCTTTTATGCACTGTCCTCCACCCCCACCTCCCACCCATTCCCGCTTTTACGAAGTTGAGTTATCTTCCATATTCAGAATTTTCGTTTTAATTTACTTGTTAAACACACTTGTGTAAAAAGACTGAATTTTGTTGGGTTTGTCGTCTTTCTTTAGCTTATGATATTCTTTCTAAACACATGATTTCCTTGATTATTTATTATTGAAATTTCAACCAATGTAAGTATATTATTGTTGATCTTCTTTAATATCTATTGTGTTTTTTTTTTCTATATTTGGATTATTATGTTGTTTAGTTGATATTCATTGTTATTATAACTTATATTGCTTTTATATAATCGTTTTACATTTTAAATTATGATAATTAATTGTATTTGAAATTGTATGGTATTCAAATCCTTTAATTGGCTTTTTAATACTGTTGGATGCATTAAATAAAAATGGGAAAAAGCATTATACGAAATAAATCTTTAAAATTTCATATCTTTCTAATAGGAGTCATTATGCCTCATAACGAGAGTTAGTTTATAATAGTATGTGCATTATTGGCCTAAGTTTAGGTGGGACAAAATGGCTGTGCTATTTGGGTGGGTGGTGCGCCTATGGGGAAAAACCCTACTGGGATCGAGGTGGCGGAGCTAAGGCATTTTTAATAATTTGAGGTTTTATTTAATCGATTTAGGAAGACGCATCTATAGTTTTGAGTTGTAGATCTAGGAATTGTCAGGGCTGAGGATAGCAAATTTATGAATGGCACCTCCAAATGGCCAGAAGTTGCACTGTCATACAATTTGAATATCATTTTGAATATCATATTTTTCCCCTATTTTTTTCTTTTTTTAAAATCTTAAATAATTCAGGGGGATAGGACAATTGGGCTTATTGTTGAATTGAACTATTGAATTAAAATTTCACTATTCACCATCATTATCATTGGAACAATATTTTGGAAATGAGCAAAAAACGTTTATTTGTGATATGATCTGTGGTATACAAGCGTAGGAGGGAGGAGGAGTATTTTTGGTGTGAATCACACCAATGATAACCCACGAAGTCCCAAGTACACCGGGAGGCAATCCACAACTCACATAGTTCGTAATGCACACGGGACCAACTGTGCTATATCGTAGCTTGCATTTCAGCATTCCGACTGAAATACTAGGAGAGCAGTGAAGGGAATTGAACCTGGGACCCAGAGATATCAACGGTTCAGCGCCCACACAGTGGCTATCATCAGTTTAGCTGACTAAGCTGCTCTGCTCTGCCACGTAATTTGAAGATGATTAATAGGTCTAACAGATTTCAAGTGTTTAGTATAAAAGTCAATCCACCAGTTTACATTTCAAGGACTTATTTTTTCGGTTAGTTTTGGGAATTCCTAAAACAAACATAATACAATAATTGAAAAAAAAATGTATATGGTCAAAATATATCATGATACGACACTTTGACACTTGCTTTTTTATACAGGTCAATATCATGCAAACTGGAAAATTTTATATAGGGCCTAACTCAGTTATTTCCTTGATATGCAAATAAAAAACACCTTTAAAAAGAAAAACAATGTAATCATTAAGCAAAGAAAAACTACATAGAACACAAGAGTAGAGTTGTTTCCTGTAGTAAAGATGTTCCTTTATTATATCATGGTGATGTGGTTTATTCCTGTTACACAGGAATATGTTTTTAAAATAAATAATAAAAACAGCCATAATATCGGCGGTGGTTCCAACAGTACGCTCGCATATGGTTCTGGTGGTGAAAGAAGTCTTCTCGTCTAAGGACTATAAACCGTAGGCCCAGTGATGGCTCGTGTGCAGTAAAAAAAAAAAAAAAAACAAAACAAAAAAAACGCTGTACATATTTTGAGACGATTTTTTTAAGGGTTACTCATGTGTACTAGTTCATATAGC